AAATATTAAAATATATAATTTTTGAACAACTAAATTATAGTTAAGACTTAAGTAGGTGTCAACGTAGTGAGGATGTACTTATACTATAAATATCTGATAATAGTAATTGGAAATGTATTTAGTTTTTATTTGTTTAAATTATATTTAACTTTGCAAAGTTATAAATAATTCATGTAACATAAAATTTGAATTCTATGTAAACATTTCTTGGTATAAATATGAATTTATCGTTTTGTTCAATTCTTAGTTTACATTTAAAAAAAATATATATTTTTTTGGCTATAAATATGAAATTTTTTATATTTTTTTAATTTTATTTATACAATAATATGGGTCAAATCGGAACAAACCGCGACCCGTGACTAGACCCAGATGGGTCAACAGACGGGTATGAGTTGTAGTCCAAAATCTGTGGGCCGACTCAAAACCCGTAGCGGGCGGACTTTTTTCATGCGAGTAGTTACCGAGCTCCTATGTTGGCGGGCCAACCGGTCCCGGACCACCCGAATTGACACATTTAAATACAAGTGCCTAACAGTTCTTTGATTTGTCTTAATAATTCTGTTAGCCTTCAAATTTCATTACCACAGCGAAAGTCGATGTATCTCGAATCAGATAAATCTCGAGATAAGTTACTTAAAATTGTGGTAACTCATCAAAATAGGACATCTAATAATTGAAATATCTTTTGAAACTAATTTTTGATATTGGTAGGACAATCGTGTTTTCTCAAACATTACAACTCATATATTTCTTCACAAACTAAACATAATTTACCCAGTTGAACGTATTAAATATGCCGCATTCGAAATTATTCTGTTTATCATTATGATGGCAAAACATTAATGATGTGACAGTCTATGTTAATTAACGTGATCGAAAAGTTAAATTTTTATAAGAAATAGAGGACAAGAGAGAGAAATATGAGGGGTAATGAACTATCACATCACTGATATTCCATTATCATAATGATAAATATCATTACTTATCTATTTGGGGGGTTTCAATCTTGTAAAATTGTAGACTCCCAATCCGTCATTTTTTTCATTAAAAAGTCAAAAGCAACAAGATAATCCCTCCAACACGAAGCACTTCAGAGAATGTACTTCAAAATCAACAGATTCCGGATCACCATTCACTGAGGCCATAGCAACATACATATACACAAGTTCAAAGTCATAAATCGTAGTTTATGCAAAGGAAGCATATTTCATGTCTTTCATCCGATGAGCTGTGGACTCGATCTTCACTGGTAGCATAAAGGGACAATCCATTTCTGTATCACCTTCTTCCGGCTGAGCTTCAAGACTAGCATATGTACAATA